CATAGGTATTGCTCTGTTCCATCACTTATTACCTACCGCTGTGCATCTAGCTCAGTCTACTAGTCGCTAAAAGCCACGAAAGATGTAAATGTAAAGAAAAATTTAATGTGTTATTTTAATTTTATGCAGGCGCTTGCACATATTTGATTAACATTAGTAGGAGAAAGGTTATAAAGAACACCCAGTCCCCACTTCTAAGGCGGAAAAAGTTGGTATGACTAGAGCCAGGTCTAGCATCGATGTATTTTTTGTCGTCGGTTCAATCTGCTAGCGCTTGCACGTCACCATAGGTTTGCGATGAACAAGGTACGCCTGTACTCAGAAAATCAATGAAGCATGTTTAATATGCTTTAAAGTTGACCTACAACATTTGATATACATTTTACAACCTTAAAGTACATCGAGTTTCTCTTTTACATGTTTTGTATTGTCTCGATTGAATCACGACTCTAAACACTGGAATATGGCGTTTACTTCATATGATCTCACTCGATACTTGAAGCCAAGCAGTCCGGTAATAATACTTCAGGGTTGGGTAGAAAATGTAGAATTAGAGCCAGAAGAGGTGAAACCTTGCCAAAGTTTGGTCTTGGGCTCTCTCGTTTACAAGATTTGTTTCCTTATCAACGCTTTCCATATATCGGTTACAAATTGATGCAGCATGTTCAAAAACACCAGGCCGGCGCGTTAACAAACTATACACCATTAAGTGCGAAATTCAATTGCGCTATTAATCAATCAGGCGTCAAGAATCAACCTGAGAGTAAAAATTGTTCGCATGCGGGCACTAGGGACAACTCATCGCTTCTGTTACAGTGGTTGAACACAATGATGTTCCTTCCCTCATTAACTCAAAAAAAATTCCTAGCCAGCGTTCAGTAATTGAATAATATTAGAATCAGTACCACCTACACCAACCTCAGCACAGTCGCACGATACGGCCACATTTCGCCTTCTCGATTTGTACATTGATCTATTACCTCTGGAGCCGAACTATTCTGGGGGGCATTCGAATATATAAAACTCGCATTACCCTTCGGAGTCCTTATTGAGTACCTCGGTCGATCGTAGTACTGTAAGCTCTATTGCGCTTAGTGTAAGTAGATTGATTACCGCACCACCCCATCCCTTGTACAAAGATAAGACTGTAACCTTCGAGTTTCTCCCACAAGTAATTTTATTAACGTACGGTGAGAGGCTACGATGCCACAGTGTTTTTTTCCATGTATATAAGATGCCACATCCAAATGAGTGCCACAGCAGGCAAGATGTTCTGAGTGCCATAGCTAGTATGTACAGCTTTCCGTCAGGAACTAGTATAGCCCAAAGTATGCTTTGTTACTTAACCTCTAGGTAACGAATGCATGTACATGTGCAACCATCGAGCTCCGACCTTACAACCCCAATTGTTCGATCTGCGATCTGCAAGCTTCCTACTCGTGAGGTGTAGAACAACACGGCGAATAGTTCGGCATTTGGAGTTAATTCCCTGCAAATTTATGATAGTGGTGGCCCCGGACAGAGAGATTTAAAAAAAGACTTGTCCGTTGTGACATTCATTTAGGTGTGGCATCCTAGATATAGTTGTAGGCCGTAAATGATCGGAAGGCGGGCGTAGCAACGGGTTTCGACCCACCCGAACCATCACCCGAACCATCACCCGAACCATCACCCGAACCATCACGAGCACCACCACAGCAACCACAATTAATACTTTAGAAAGCTAGTTTTTCATATAATTGTTAAAGAATAGCTAAATAAAAATTAATTTGACATTTAATATCTTGTGGACCAACCCCTTGCCTTTATAACAGCCTTTATTCCCCTTGGCATGCTCTCAACCAGCCTACCAAATAAATCATCAGTTATCAGTTCCCAACAATGAATTAGAGCTTCCTCTATGAGGGCCTTTAATACTTGAAGTGATCTAGTGTCATATACTAAATGGGGGGTAGTGTTGATGGTAGAGCTTCTTGAGGTGTACCCAAACATGCTCAATGGGATTTACTAGTAAGACAGGTGAATAGGCAGGCCAGTCCTCAAGAACATCTACCCCATGCTCCTCCAACCATTGAGTAGTAAGGCTGGCGGTGTGTACTTTAGCATTATCATGCATAAAGATTGGCCTGATACCCTTCTCCCATAGCTTTGCCAAAAAATTCAGAAGATAAAACTCAAGAGTCCTGATATATGCCTCTGCATCTGTCCTTCCCCTTTCTCCCACCATAACTCCAGTACAGGTCCCTTTCAATTCCCCGGCAAAGCATACCCTCATGAACAATAATATTAAATAACTATCTTCTTTTTATGTATAGCCACGGACAATATTATATATTTTTTCGTTGTTTTTGAATCCAAACTTTACTACATGTAACATCAGTATTACGGGTGCGCCACACTGCGCACTGACATTAAAACTATATCACGAACACTTTTACTGAGTGGCTGTATATACCAGCCTAACATGTAACCTACCATCGCGGCGGCCACAGTGGGATAGTAGTTTTTGTCCTCGGCAGGGAGAACCGGGGGTAGAGAGATCGGTGACGTATATACTACATACTAGCAGTGGCCTATCTCACGACTTGGAGTTGCTCAATTGATTAATTTCAATATGCATTTTGTTGTCAAAATTCAAAGAACCTTTCAAACCCGGCCCGTCCCGTCCCCCCCCCCCCCACCCCAATTGATCTGAAATGTTATCCCCCCCGGGCGCTAAAATATTCTTTATTGATAAACGTAATATGATACCTACATGTAGTGTGTACGTATTGGAATTGGAGCACTCCCGGTCCAAGAGATATTTTACCACCCCCTCCACTCGGGTTAATAACCTATTTAGTGCTTCAGGTTCAACGTACCGTTATCATTATGTACCCATTCACTTCATGAATCTTTTGGCTTTCGTTCCTCCAACCTGTTACTTCAACCTGTGAGATCTTTTACCCATCGACCCAGTTGACGGTCCCTTCAGTACACCCAGTTAAATAATACTTCCTCCCCCCTCTCCCACTTTGGAATGACCCAGATTTTCAAAGTTGTTATTTTATGATATTACTGCCTATCTCTCCCCCGGACCTCTCAATTCATTCCCCAACAGTTCAATCCTCTCAGTTTGTGGTGTGCAGGTTACCAGATAGGGTCAGGGTTTCTACCTTCGACCAATCAGAGTTCAAGAAAAGAATTGCTGGATGTCGAGTGATAGACCATGAATTACGATTGCTCCCAGATCCCATGTCTCAAATCAAACTCACTGAGATAGGTTGTAGAGCGGTTATCACTTTTTCTTCTGCTCACTCTTTGATCAACCGAGCTCTTAAGCACGTATGTAAACCCAACAAGTATTTTCTGTCTCAATGTGTCAATGCCACGCAAATTAATGGAAAGTATGATATTTGTAAATACTATTGTCCCAACCCAATACATAGCTATAAAGAACTTAAAGAGGTACCGGTTTCCACATACATGGACCCTCTACTGCTACATTAAGATACATATCATATTCCCAATTTTACCTTATCCCTTAGCGCCAACCGCCACGAGGTGCCCATATGAAGCATGACTCCGGATTTCTTGTAGGTAGTTCTACATGTCCAGTAACAAAATCTTGAGGGTTAGGGTATTTCCACCGCTAATACTAATGCTAGTGGCGGCGGAGGTGCAGTTTGTAAAAATTATTGAAGTGCTGACTAAGTAGGTTCGGTTCACAGTAAGTGTCGATTCATCCCTTCAAAACAGGTCTGGGCACGAGACGAGATTTATTTGTGGGCGTGTACCCTGCTACCAAAAGGACAAAGGGTGCTTCTTGGAAATCCTTCCGGAAAACCGTACGAGAGCAGGAAAAGCCCGTTTACATCCACGTCAAATTGATTGATCGTCCTGATGTTCACAGTGAAACCGCTCTTAGATAGCATATGCTTGTCGAGCGATAGAAATTCAAAGGGCCTACGTGATGTATTTTAAAACTTTATTTTTGGAAATGGAGACCAGTTATTGGACGCACCAGATCACAATAACACTGGGCGACTTCCCGTCGACGTTTAGAAGGTGTTTAGAAGCGGTTTGGATGAAATTTAGAGTAATAAAATTTGGATGGCAACGCTCCAGATTCAGAATCTGAATGGGGGGGGGGGGTGGAGGGGGTACGTTCAAATTTCTAAATCTTTAAAATTTGAACGGGCGAAATATGATTGGTTAAGAAAGGCTCCGGGCGGGCCCTGATGCTACGCACTAAACCAAAGCAGTACTTAAAAATCTAGAAAGTATTGTTCGCCATGGGAAGGCATTCGCACCCAGATTCAGAAATCTATTTCCTAAACGCCTCCCAAACTTCCACGGGAAGCCGCCCACTAGATCACCTTCTAGAGTGAATTCTTATGACAGTGAGCGAGAGTGAGAAACATATAAAGGAACGCGGAAGAATTATTGATGTCAATTTAGGTGCGTATGGAAGATGCTAGCAGCACTTTGACGGGCTAACTATGGATCTTAAGTAAAATGCGTGCTGGTGTCAGTGAGGATTCCAAAGCACAGACGAATGCATAGACAAGGCCCTTACTGAAGTGACATTGCCCATCTGAACGTAAGACTGTGTGTGTATGTGTATGTTTGTGTGCGAATCCCCGATACTTGAGTTTCAGAACATCGAAGTGATGTTTGAGAAGTAGTTATCGCCACAATTCAAGGAGCTTTAGTACAAAACTGTGGCGATAACTACTGTGCATGGCCTTTGGAGCTTTCTCAAAGTGTTCCCACGGTTCTAGCCTTCTCCCGTGCAGGTCAACAAATCATATTCCTGGTGCTTGGTGACGTTCTCCGCAAGGTCGCGGTTACATAAACACTTCATTGGTTGAAACCGCTTTAACAGTTCAAGTCGGTGACGGGTAGCAATCAGGTGAGGAGACGTTGGATTCAAGTTGCAGTGGGTTCTGGAGGCTCATGATGCCCGTCCGCACTTGCTCTTTTTCTTAGTAAATTTACATCAATAGTTCCTGTTCATCCTATCCTATCTGTCCGTTCGTTCTTTTCTTCAGGTGGTACGTCTCCAGATCTTTGTCGCTGACCAAGCTCGGACTACCCACAAGAAGGTCGGCGCCTTTAGCGCTCTTCGGGAAAGCAATGACATCCCTAACGAAGTCTGTTCCTTGAAGGATGGCTACGAGCCTATCAAATCCCAATGCAATTCCTGCATGTGGGGGACAGCCACTGTCTAAGACCTTCAATAGATGGTCAAACTGATGAATACGTGATGGGTCAACTTTAAGCACACTCTCCAGCACATATTTCTGGAGTTCCGCATCGTGAATTCTGCGGCTGCCACCTCCAAGTTCAACGCCATTTACCACGATGTCGTAATGTTCTCCTCTGACTTTCGCTGGCGCGGAAGCAAGCATCGCCAAATCCTTTGGATTTGGCGCTGTAAAGGGGTGGTGGGTCGACGAAAGTCCAGCAGTACCACTTTGGCCGGGTTCCGAATCTGAACTGGGAGAAAAAAGTGGGAAATCTATTATCCAAACGAATTCGGGGCGTTCAGGGGTTTTTATAAGGTTCTCGCGTTGAGCTGCAGTAAGCAAGGCGGCCCGAAGGAGACCCAATTTAGTGCTCCCACCCTAAATTTCACCATTAGCAGCTTTTCCATTTTTCAAATAACAGAAGCTGCACAGAATTACTTACCGACAAATCGCCCTTTCTAAGCTTGATCAATATGATACAACCAGGAGTTGCCCAAATCTCTCTGTTGATTTCCACCATCTTTTCTTCGTCGATTTTGGCTGCTACTAAATCTGGGTGAAGATGTGTCGAAGGATGACCGAACACATATGATAAGAAATGATCATCTCCCTTTCCTTTATGAGTCTCTTCGAACGACGAACGGAGTTTTTCAATTTTCTCAATGTCAATATGCCGATCAGTATGGAGGCAAATGACTTCAATGTGTTCATCCTTGTTTTTAACCAGGTGTGGAAGAATACTGGTAATCTCGTTAATCTATAAACTGATTAACATCATCCTTCAGTCAAATTCCTTCACAAAAAAATCTCACCTTCGTCTTGGGAAACCTCAGATCAGGTTTATCACTCCCGTAGAACTTCATTGCATACCACCAGGTCATTCTCTGAAACCCTCCACCTAGATCGATACCTAACGTTTCAAACCAAATCTTGTTGAGAAGCTCCTCGATGACGCTCATAACATCTTCCCCAGTTGCAAACGACATTTCCAAATCCAACTGAGTAAATTCTGGCTGCCTATCTGCCCGCAAATCTTCGTCCCTGAAGCACTTGGCTAGCTGAAAATAGCGAGCCACGCCACTTGCCATTAAGATTTGCTTGTATTGTTGGGGTGATTGTGGCAGGGCATAACACATCCCTCCTCCGTTCTCTTTGCTTCGAGTTGGAACAAGAAATTCACGAGCACCCTCGGGAGTGGATTTAAATAGAAGAGGTGTTTCAACTTCTAGGAAATCGTTTCTTTCAAGGTGGTTCCTGCATATTGAGGCAACTTTGGCTCGGAGACGAAGTGCCGAATATAGAGAATACTTTGTTCGTAGCTGGAGATGCCGTTGTTCTGGTGGGAAAACAGTATCAGGGGTATACACCAAATCCTTTGTAACCGAATTGAGCTTTTGGATGGATTGAAGGTGAATTTCTATGAATGTCGGGGTTTTCCCTGGGGTGCGTTCTGAGGGGTGCCGTGAGGAGAATTCACGCTTGACAAGAATCTTAGGGGAAGTTGCTTTAGACTCAAATTCCTCCTTATTTCTCCTGGTAGACTCTCTCCTGAAAACCTTACCAGTTACGGAAACTGGTGTGAAAGGAGCTATTGATAATAAGGTCTCTTGCGCCTTGATTTGGTCTTCTGTAGGATCTTCAAATAGATTGGAAACGATTTGGATTTGGGATTTAGGACCAGAATGAAAGTCGAAAAAGTTTGCAAATGTGAGCTTCTTGTTGATTATCCTGCAGGGAGCGAGAAACCCATGCATTGTCACTACCTCGTCGTCGTCACGATATGAAAGATCTTTTACCCGGTGAGTTGCTGGAGGAAAATTAACTATGAGAGGTGTTAGCTCCATGGATCGCAGGATTTAACAACTTTAAGAAAGGGCGAAGTCACACTTCGAAGCTACACCCTTAAGTGTAGATGGGAGCTCAGCGGGCCAAGAATTGTTTGCGTCCTGCTTAACCAATGATCATGAGAATAAGACCAAAGCAGATGTTTGATCGTGAGGCGTGATTGTGATTGTACGTACCGTTGCTGGCTTCCCCCAAAATATTGCTTTACGCTTCAATCCCTCTGGCGTCTTTATAGATTCTTCAAAAATTTCTGACATCTCCTCGGAATCGTTTATTTCTCTTTGGATATCTCTTCTCGTATCTGAAAGCAAGGACCTATAACTTTTCAAAAAGTCTTCATCTGCCTGCTTCGAAAGCAAAGGATCAAAAGGATCTGCTTCAGCGGCTTTTTTTAGTCGAGCTTTCGCAGCTGCCACGAAAGATTCCGCATCCAAATTGGCTATTGTATCGGTCATAACAAGCGGATGACTCCGTTTAGTTCCCTCAGGATTCGTGACATAGGCGTCCGGTTCAGTCCCTCCCTCACTCGGCGATCGCCCTTGTATGTCTTCATCTTCTGCAGTTTTCCGAGAGCCTGGTCCTTCGGTGGAAGAGGCCCTTGATTGCAATGAAACAGCAAAACCACGAGCCGAAGGCCTCCCTATATAAGTAGAGCTTGAGTGCCGTAACAGGTAACCACAATGTGGAATTGGGATAGATTGACCAAATCCAGAAGGAAAGATTCGTATGCGGCAGCTGAGGCAGATTCGTGATAGCGAAGCTTGCATTGACATATTTGTCGTCCAATCTTTTAAGTGGCAGGGTGCTCTAAAGGTCTTTCACGCACAGTGATATTATAATGTTGTCCCACCAACCCTAACCTCACATACTCCATTACTTTTTCATAGTTCTTGGCCCCGCAAATTTGCCGCTGGTGCCCCGCGTCCGGGTAACCTATCAAATCTCAGAGGTATTTAATCCATTCGTGAGCCTCTTCATCACATCTTTTCTCCATATCCTTCCAAGTTCAAAATGTGAGACACCCCCACCTTCAGATAGACTCTTTGCGCGGTATGCTAACAGATACTCTACAGATGATGAAAGCCTAGCGTGCAGTCTATGAATCGGTTTCCCAATTCTTCCCGGGGGTACACTCTGCCTGCTCTTTACGGACAGGTTGGCTTAAGGGTCCTCTGAGAAGAATTCCGGGTTAACCATGAAATAGGCGTTCGAGCACACCCTCCTTGTTACAAGATCGGACGCTTCAATGGCATCTCTGAACCAGATCTTGGAAGGTCTAATTATAATATTTCTTTTCTAATAAATGTAATTATAGTCAGTAGAATTACAATGTATTTCCATATCATGATGTATTTCCATATCTTTTTCATTATTTGCTTTCCTGTGACCACCAAGACTTATTTTTATTTATTTTTGCCTGGATTTTCCGATGAGGGAATCTTGAATTCCCTTCATCACTTCGCAGACTAGGTGGAGTCCTAGGCGAGAACATCCTTTGACTCAGTATATCTTTTGCGATAGAACAAAAAGCAGTTAAGAAACACAGGTCGATACGGGAGCTCCAGTATCGACCTGACTCTCAGTGGTCTGTGAATATCAATACAACTACTTTGGGATGTTTTCCACTCGTTGTAGACTCTGAAAAGAGTTTATAGGAGTACTGCCACACCGTCATAATGTCACTGTTTTTGTCCAGTTACTAGAAAACCAGATGCAGGCGGCTGTGGTACAGCCACACCCCGTGCATGGCTCAACGGCCAACGGCCAGCGAACCTCTCCGGATCAACCTCCAAAGGCTCCCTAAGCCAACGCAGCATCTATCCCACCTCAACCTCCTTCTTCTTACCCTGCAGCAGCAGAGCCCCCCTCCTCAACCACTCAACCCCCCCTCTCCCCTCCCCCCGAAAGTGGTCCTCCATATCAATAATTACCCCCCCTCCCTATCGTTTACCTCTAAATAATTGATCCTGTGGTTTAACCCAATCTTACCATTTGTTTGGCAACCTCCCTATTGCGCTGTGAAGTTACTGTAGTGACATAAACCTAGTGCCCAGCCAAACCCCTACCGTAACCTCGAGTTGTGCTCCGGCTTGGTTGTACCCTCCTTAATAACAAATACAATCTTTGCGCACTCGTTGTCAACCTTATTCTCTGTCACAATCAACCGACTACCCATAGGGCCACTATACCGGAGGTTCCAAGAGGTTTGCGGAAACCGACAGCAGCCGGTGTTCCGCGAACTGGGATCTGCCACATCAGTGCTTCCCATCTACAAATCCTCGGAGCTCAAAAGCTAGAAGTACATACTCTTTCACATTGCAGCTCGATAAGTGATTGCATTCAATCCACAGAGTTCTCTGGACATTCTATCTCTGTTCCCCGCCCGGTATAAGACATAATCCACCGGAATTCCTGTCAAGTAATCACCTACTCAACAATACTCTCAAATTCCTCAACGCAAGCCTCGTCGAAAACTCATCAACGGAGACAACAAGAAACCATAGACAAGTATACCTCTACGTATAAGACTCGTTGGAGGAATCAGCAACACCGGCAATCAAGGACCGAGCCGTTGCGAATTTCGCCGAAGAATCAGCAAAGTGGGGAGAATATACTATCTGGGACGGCGACGCAAGGACGTCGAAAATTTTGGGAGCGGAAAGATGGCTACCTCCTTTGAGAAGTCGGTGAAGGCATGTCTGCTCCTCCAGTTGTGCGAAGCATTCTCTGGCAAAGATATGAATTGCGGGATGGTTGAACAGTTAGAGAAATTAGAAGTGCTATCATATTGACTACTTGATAGGGAGCAACCAAGGTTAAACTTGCGGCCCCGAAATCCAAATATGTCGAGCACATTCTTGTCGCCACTCATGCGGGCGAAGCTGGTATTGCGGAGGTTTTCCGGGCGCTAAATAACCGGGTCAAGGATCAAACATGGACGGTTGGTTCCACCTAAACTTATTTAAAACTGCACCTAACGAAAAATGCCGGTAATATCAGATTGTCTTCAAGTCTCTCATCATTGTTCATTTAATGATACGTGAGGGGGAGCGGGAGGTAACACTCAGATATCTACGAAAACACCCACGGCTTATCACAGTTAGCCATTACTCTGATGGTATTCATACGCTCTCTCCTTTTTTCTTCCCTGATTTACCGGCTTCTTTATCCCATATAGCAACTCGACCATTCTAATTAAAATCGACACCATATAGCTCAGGAACAAGGGAGAAATATCAGGCATTACTCACAATATTTACTCGAGAGGGCAAGAACTTATGGAGACGTCAAAACAGACTATGTGAGGAGTGGTGAGGGCAGATTAAGAAAGCTAAGTATTGAAAAGGGGCTTTTGCGGGAAGTTGAGTGCGTCCAGACGCAGATTAGGGCGTTGTTGAAATGCACAGTAGGGTTACCTCTCATGTCTGCGGTAGCTATCAAGACGGTCTAACTAACACCGCAATAGTTCCTAGAAACCGATGTTGACAATGAGATTTCTTTGCTAGCCTTCAGATTGCTAGTTATGGATCTCTTGGTTTTGTTCCACGTTGTGAACGAAGGGGTCATAAATGTCCTGGGTTTGTACCCTAACACCTTTCAATACCAAGAAAACGAATTTTAACCTCCCCGCGACAGAACACTACTTTGAAATGTCACGGTTTGATGCAGAGCGTGGTTTAGAGATCTACAAGACATTTACCAAGCAAACTGCGGATGTTGTAGAATATCTGCAGCAGGCAAGATCTGTAGAAACAGCTACCCGTCTTCAGATTCCCAATCTTAAACACGCCCCTACAAGTCTTACTTCCTCATTGGAAGAATATCTACAAGACCCCGAATTCGATTCCAATAGGCGGAATTACCTCGCTACCCAGGAGGCAAAGAGAACTGGGAAACCAACTCCTGCGACTGCCAAACCAAGCTCGCCTCCCCCGCCCAAGGCTACTGATGCGACGCCTAGGGTAGCTGAGTTGCAGGCACCAACAGCTGAGTTGGATGCAACAGCACCCAGGGCTGTCGCTCCAGATCTTATTGATTTTTTTGAGTCTATTGAATCAGAACAAACTCCTATGTTCGGAAATCAACAGGATGTATCCCAGATGCAAAACCAGTACGCTCAGCAGTCCGATGCAGCTTTTATGGCAGGGCAGTCATCTTTTATGGCACAGCAACAATTTCCTACTCAAACAGGAGCAGCATACCCTATGATGTACCAGGCCCAAAACCCTTACGCACAAGCTCAACAAGTTCCCGCCCCAATGATGCAGGCCAACTCTCCCCAACAAGTTCAAACAAACTTCACAGGGGCCGGTTTTGGTGGTTATACCCCATCGGATCAAACCGCGGTCTCTGCTCCCCCAATGCCGACACTTCCGCACCAATATTCCCAGCAAACCTCTACCTTCACTCCCCCTCAAAATTCCCCAGCCTTGAGTCTTTCTACGGGCCATACGGGTCAAACAGACACTAACCCCTTTCGCCAGTCCATGATGATGACTGGCTCTGTTACCTCAAACCAATCTGTTAGTTCATACGCTACATCACCCCCTGCTCAGAAATCCACCAACCCTTTTGCGAGGGCTGTATCCCAGACATCGCCCACCAGTTTGACTGCCTCAGCTCCTGCATTCCCCATTTCTACGCAATCTACATCGTCGTACAACCCGCAGTCTCAGCAGTCCATGCCACTTTCTCAGCAACCCACCGTCCGTTCGATGCCAACCGGTACCAACCCATTTGCACGTAATCTTGCTGTTAGTCCGAACCCAACCGGCTCTTCCGCCGCCTCTGCAGCATTATCGATTCCCTCGACAACGGGTGGTACCAACCCATTTAGACAATCCATGATGGTGCAGCAACAGCAGCAGCAACAGCAAGCTCAAATGAATGGAAACTTTTCTGGGCAGACTGGCAGTATGGGTGGCTGGGAAAATCTTGAGACCATTCCGATCTTTCCTCGAACTAATAATTCTGGCTAAACGCCAAACGATGACATTGAATCGATTGGGGTTAATGAATTGTTTCAAAGCTTCCTCTATTGCCGTGAAAAACCCACTATATGAGATAAGCAACTCATGATCCTCCCTTCTTGACCAAGATCGCTTGCAATATGGTTAGGTTGGAATTGTTGTTCCTCGGTCATGGAGGGCGTAAAATCTTTCAATTATTCTTTGTCGATATCTACTCTGTCGAGTTATTTCGTTTCTTTTCGTTGTTTAATCGGAACGGTTTTATTGTTGTGTCCAATCTCGATGGCAATGCATTGGTTTTACGTACATTTGTTGATAGGTTCGATTTCACTTTGATCTTTATTACTTCACTAGTAATGCATTAATGCCTGTTCTTGTTTCCTCGTGTTTCCTCAAAACTCCCTTTTCTATTTCTGGGTTCACCAACGTCTTCCACGGACTGAATGCTTATTTCCGAAAGTTTGAATTATTTCTACAGTCTGCTGAGCCGAATATGTTATGGGTGTTCTTTCGCCGTCCGTGTCTAATCTTCCCTCTTTTCTTTTTTTCTTTTTTTTTTCTCTCTCTTATCTTTTGTAGCCCTCTCTCCGCGTGTGGGATTTTGCTCGGAGGAGAAAAGGAAGGGGAAAGGGGCAAATTGGTGCCTTGCAATCCTCCGTTGGGTGTAGATAGTCAATCCCGCGGTGGTCCGGGTTCATAAAAATCGAGTGTTTTAATGTAGAACCCACTGCAAGCCGGAGGTGAGAAGAAACAGGTGAGAAGAAACAGGGTGATTGGTGAGGGCGTATGTGTTGATGACCCTCACCGGGTAACGCAAACTGCCCACCGGATCTGAGGAGAAGCGCACCGAGTGACCTTTCATGACACAATCCCTCCCCCATTCTGTTCACCACAGATAGCAACGTTACACTCCCAAGGCCAATGGCGTCTTTATGGAGCCCACACAACGACAAACAAGCACATGCAAACCAGCAGCAAATCATGTATCTCTTCCGAACAATCCATTTCCTCCCCATCGGCCACAGCAAACGCAACAAACCGACTGACTGACTGAACTGACCACGCTCTAATAGTTGATATGTACATTACCAGCTCCACCCTCGAAGCTCTCTCTCTCTCTTTCCACCTCCTTCCTCCCCACACTCTCACTGCTGCCAAGTAAACGCAGCGTCTGGCTTCTGTAGCACATCACTCACACCCATTTTAGTCCCCGGCGCCACACAGAACTAAGCAGAAGCGGATTGTGGTGGGCCTTTAACCTTTCTGAGCTTTTCCTCAAACTTTTCGAATTCGCGGATTGCGATCTCTTCTTCTTCGTCGAGGATTTGTTCGACGCCTTTTACCTCTTCGATCTGGTTGGGATGTTAGCTTTTTACACACCCATCTTTTTATACCCCCTGGGAAAGGAAGCAAGGAAGGGGGAGGCGCATACATAGTGCATTAGCATGGATTCGATTCCGTTCTTCAGCGTCACAGTCGACGAATCGCAGGTTCTGCAAGCTCCGCGGAGCTTCAGCTTCACCATGCCGTTCTCGAACCCTCGATACTCGATATCACCGCCATCTGCACTCATCCACACCAACTATTAGCACTTCCCACTCAACGCACAACAAGGCACCAGCAAAAAAGAAAACAAGAGAAAGCACGAAAAAAACCCACCCTCCTGAATCGACGGCCTAATCCTTGTATCCAACAACTCCTTCACCATACTCACAACCTCACTATCCCCCTCCTCGGGCATCGTATCCACTGCGCCGCTCGTCCCCTCCACGACAACGCTCCCACCGCCCGCTAGCGCCTCCGTAATCAGGGCAAACACCTCCGGCTTGACAAACGCCCAGTTGGCGTCTTCGGTCTTAGTAATAGTGATGAAGTCCGGGCCGTAGAAGACGGCGCGCACGCCGTCCACCGCAAACAATTTCCGCGCGAGCGGCGAGTTGTGGGTCTCCCGCCCGTCAAGGTATTCTAGTGACGAGGAGCCCGCGGGCAGCACGGGCATGCCGGGGATGAACTTGAGGGCGGAAGCATTGGGCGTGGTTTCTGTCTGGATGAACATTGATCTGCGGAGGGAGGCGGGGGCGCCAAGGGGGCGCCATGGTGATGAGGCGGCTACGGCGGAGGGGGTGGGGCGGCGGAGGGGGAGGGTGTGGAGGGTGCGGCGGGCGGTGGGGGTAGTGGTGCGTAGTAGTCGCAACACGGATGAGAGTGGTCGGGACATTGTTTTGAGAGATGTTTTCTTAAAAAGTTCTCTTTTAGCACTTTTCTTGTAAATGGTGAGCAATGGGGGCGGAGGGTCTTTAATAGGGATTTTTGATTTCTAAGAGCTCAAAGTTTGAAGGGTCCCACGGCGGGTGGCGTAGTGACGTTTTCTGCAGCCGCTGTGGCGCAAGTGGGCTAGCCGACGGGCTGCCGGTCTGGTCATGGGCTGTCACTCGGCGCAGGGGGGGCCCTGGACGGCCGACTGACATCTGTGAATGCAATGTAATGTCGTACCTGCAGGACAGTATCCTTGAATTCAGGTACCGAGAGCTGGCAATCCTCTTCCAAAAGAAAGAATCAGACTCCTGTAGCATCACTGCATTTTGCAAAGTGACAGGCAGTGATTCATGATCGGGTTTGAAATAATTACAGCAGCGCACATGTATTGTAGTAAGGGTTGGGGTAGAACTTCAAATGAATTCCCCTAAAACTCCACATAATGTGAAATATTTACATAACTTCTATCTCCCTAATTCTACCAGCATAAAACGTCTTTCTAACTCTGCCCTCATCGACTACAGGAAATGGAAACATCCGACGATAACGCCAAGGCAAGGATAATCCCTTCCAGTTTTTCGGCCACCTGCTTGGGTCTTTATTCAGCAAAAATATCTTTCGAGCCGTACCCGGTTCAGTACGTGGATACACCGCACTACAGATCAGTAAACCCGCAGTCCCGTTGTAAAGAATGCGGCGGTATCGGAGAGTTGCGCCCCGATTAATTGGTGTAGATACCGGACTGTGGGGGGTTTCTCTTTTTTGAACGAACCGCGGTTGAAACCTTGACATCAGGCCGATAGAGCTTGCGGGGGTGCTGCGCGCGGGGTCGTTTGTCTTGCATGCTCGTGATCTGGAACATAGCCAATAAACGTACCTGGATACCGATGGGATTCTGTCTCTCACAAAGGTCCTAGGGGGAAGTGTCTGTGGGGTGGTGGTCACTGTCTTATCCACCTGCACCGTTCGTGTTGTGCGCACTCTCATTGGAAAATACTTTATTACCGTGGCACTATTGCCTATCTCTTTTGTAATGCATACATAATTTTTATGGGATTTGAAGTTTGAAGCCGGCAGACAAGCCAAGAACAAACCAGAATCCAAAACCACAGAGAATTAAAGCAAATACCTACTGACCCCTATAGCTCCGTCCAATAAACAAAAAACTCCAGATTCAAAACTTTTCGCAAACAGCCAACTACCAGGAGATCCGATACTATGTATTACCATTCATGTCCATCGATACTAAGGGCAGAGAAGAAGGACGGTACTAAATAGGAATACAGAAATCTACACCCCCTTACTCCCACAGGCAGAGGGCTTTAAAACTCTGAACATGCGGGAGATGCCAATGGAGAACGCATTTCTGCAATTCCCCTGCTCCCGTAATTATGCTTTCCTAGACAAAAGAAAGAAAGAAGAAAAAACTATATACAGAGAAAAGCAAAGTACAAGTCCAACTGAACTGCATGTATGGATACCAAAAGAATAACTAAAAGTAGAATTCGCATAGTACAACCAAACCCTCACCAAAAGAAAAAAAAAAAAAAAAATAGAACTCCATAAAACAAAAATACAAAGAGAGAAATTATCACGTTCCTTCTCTACAATAAGGTCTGTGGGTAAAAGATAAGGTTTTGCGATGCAGATATCTTTACAAAGCAAAGTCATTGATCGAATAGGGCATAAACATAAGCGGTCCCATTTCCGTTCCGCTGCCGCGGTTTCCTTCAGTCCATGGAAATTTGAGTAAACCTGCGTAGCGGACTCCCAATCTTGGGCGCAAACTGCATGCTCTTTCTCCGTGCCAGTAGCAGGTTGTGCATCAACACTGGATTTGTCTCATCCGCGATTCTATTTGGAAGCTCGGTCTGAGGAAAGACGATTTTTCTTGGCATGGCTTTAGGAGTCTTAGACGTGAGGCTGTTCGCGCTGTCCGAACTAGAGCCCCCGGGGGTCATCGAGAGAGCTTTGGGCTCCATAGATTTGCGGTGCTGTCATTACGTTAGCAACAATATTACTTTCTTGAGTGTGCTGCTTACTCTGTGGCCACCTCTTGGAACATGGTCCAAGTCTACTGGGTAAATGCTCTCCTCAACCCATGATTGTTCATCCTCACAAGCTGTCACCCAGGCAACACCAACGCAGAGCACAACACCTTTGCTCTCTTTGACCTTCTGCAGCGTCCTAGGACTTCCATCCTTGAATACTACGTGCGTGATCCCAACTTTGCGTTCACCCTCTCCAGGGGCGCCATTGGAATTGGGATTCCAGTTCCAACTCTTGAGAACCTTCGCACCGAGTCCGCGTAGCGTCTCGACAAAAGCCGCGCTAGCATCTGCGCCTTCTGATGTGTACACATCCACAAATACAACTGCACCAGCAAGTACACCAGCCGGGCGGATGACATTACTTCTTGTAGAGCTCTGTGAGGACAATTGTGATGCAATAGCGTTCTCTCCATCTTCATTCCCGTCTTCTTCATCTTCGCTAGATAGATCATCGTCGATGGAATGCATCTTGACTGGGACCTTCATTGTTCGTAATGGACTCTCAAATGGTCGCACAGGGTTAGCTGGCGCATCAAGAGTTAACAAGAATGGATCTATAGGAATCGAAGCATCTGATTCTTTAATGACCGGAGCTTCTCGTTCCTTAGGTGTAGCGATCTGAGGGTTGGGAAACAAGGTTTTCCTTTCCGAAGGCTGGAGATTAATATTGGCAAAAGGATTTCCCGTGAAAGGGGCTGGGGACACTTCGTCCTCCTCCTCGCTATCACCCCGAAGACTAAAAAAGCCATAACTGTTGCTACCTTGCGTTGGGCTCTTATATTTTGTTGGCGAAAGCGCGATTTGTTCCATCAATTCGCTTTCGTCTGCATCGTCCATTTCGGTATCTCCTTCTGCATCGAGATCGTCATTCTCCACTTTTTCACCAAGAATGTCATCATGAACTGGGCTCGGGGGCGTGGATGACCGGGCCATCTCTTTGCGCTCATGTTTCACCGTTGTAGGCTCATCCTTCTCGAAGATTGTATTTTCTTGGGCCGCAATATCCTCAGGTGTCCTGTGAATCTGTACACGCTTCTTGGGGACTCGCGTTGGTAATCGACCCAGATTATAATCTTCCATATCCATCCCTAACTCATCCTCCGACTCATCTGCCTTGAACACGATTGGTACCTTGGGCCTTTTAGCAGGGCTCTTGATACCAGGTCTTGATAAATCTGGAATCTCCATCTTCAAAGTGACACTTGGACCAAGCTTGATTCCATTCTTAGTTTGGTTTCCAGCAGCAGTAAATGTAGGAGGAGGTGGGCGCCTAGCTGGTGAAGTAATCTCTGATCTCGGTCCACCCCCGTTCAACTTGGAAAATGGGGTATTCGCAGTGGTGAGCTTAAAAGGAGAGGTTGGAGGCCGTCTTGCAGGGGAAGTCAGCGAAGCAGTTAAATCTAGTGGCTTTTTTGCCGACTGCCCAAGTCCTCGGGTGGGTGAGGATAGGCCAATTGGACGAATGGGTTTAGCCGCAAGTTTAGGAATAGGGCTGGACAATTCGTCTTCCATGTCTGGATCATCAGCACCTCTAGGAGTTGGCAGAGGACGGCGAGCCTTTGATGGTGACAATGCAGGCATAGGATCAAACGCTGAGCTGACATTCATGTTTGTCGTGGGAAGCCGCAGCTTAGTCGCTGGAACCCGGAGCGGCTTCACCGACAGCGCACCCATCGAAGACATAAGCTCGTCTGTCTCGTCCGCATTTCTTTCCGGCTCAGCTGGGGGCTCCTCTCGTCTCGGGGTTGCGGGTATGAGGTTTTCTTTGTCGTCGTTGAAAGTGACTTTCTTTACCTGTTTTGAGGGCGCAACTATAGAAGACTTCTTTGCAACAGCGCCATTCTTAGTGGTTTTGCGCTTCGGTGCTACGTGTGCACTGGCAGCACTCTCAATTGCTCTTGAGGGTGCTGCTCTCTTGGTTGCTCTTGTAACTCGTGGGGCAGTACTGTCTGTAGACGCTGATAACGACGAGTTGGCTTCAATGTCAGCAATGGCGTAAGCTTTACGTTTTTCGGCTACTATCTGACCTTTCCATTGGTATGGAAGCCTATTCTCGACCGTACTATCTTCTGCTTTTGCACGTGCACGGGTCAGGTACCGGCGTGCTTGGGGTTCTGCCATTGTCGATGTGTATGTATATTGGTGGGTTGGTGGATGGTAGTGAACACAAGGTTAAATAATTTTTTTTCTTCTTTTCTGAGTTGGAGAATGCTGGTGAGGGTGTGAGGGAAATTGTTGATAGATCCGGGAGGAGGATTTCTATAGGTGGAAGAAACAGGTGGTATGGCAGAGGAAGGATGGAAGAAAGGAAGGAGGGAGTGGATAGGATAAGAAGTACAAGATAGATAGGATGTGGGAGGGGACAGCCAGCAAGGCATGCGTTGGATAGCCTAGCAAAGTCCCAGGAGTTTGTTTAGATAACCCGCGTAAGTAACCACGGCAACGCCAACAGCGGGTAGACCACCTAGTACCGGGGTCTAAAATATTAACAACACCCTGGCACTGTACCCGCTCGTACATATCGCTTGGTTACCCGGTTATGCAAACCCCAACATGCTGATAAAGAAACCGATATCTGTAAAGCTCCCCCGAAAAGAAACCCCCGTAGTCCTCCAATATTACCTAACTCTTATTCCGATTGCTCTCCCTTGAAAGAGAAGAAAGAAAGAAGGAAAGAAGAATCATATCTGGAGAATACATTAACACCATCCCCAACAAAAAACACTTTGGGATTTTTCTTTTTCCGCTGCTCCCAAATTCCCACACACCACACATCGTTTCCGTTTGCGTAACAATGGCTGTTTTGCCAACTCGAAACAGGAATTAACTTTTCTCATACAGTAACAACGAAAGGACAGCAAACAACAGCACCCTAAAAACTCTTCTCTGGATCACCGCCCAGCGCTGCCACCTCCTCCAATTTCTCAAATACGCCTAACCTCTCTGCGGCCGCTGCAATTTCATCCGTTGTCAGACTGTGCCGATCTGCATGCTTTTCCTGCCTGATCATCGTTGCTAGAAATCCTCTCTGGTTCTTCAGGATAGCGATCTCCGCCTCCAGGACTCTGATCCGTTCCTCAATGCTCGGAGAGAGCTTTCTGGGTGACTGCTTTGCGAGGGAGGCGATGGTGTCACGCTGGTAGCTAGGAGTCGGGTGCGGCGGTTGGAAGTGAAGATGGGAGTCTCTGCTCCAGTCTCCCCGTGTAGAACGCCGGCCACCGTGGGCAGAAGAGAGCCGTGATGGGCTGGATATCTGCCCTCCCCCCCCTGAGAAACTGGACATCCGGCGGGAAGCTGACGATGATGCGGAGAACCGGGGAGGCGTTGAAGTCGACCTGTAATGCTCCATTTGGGTCCCCCAAGAAGTGAATATGCAAAAAAAAGAGTGTGTAGGGATGAAACAAAAAACGAAACGGAGCGGACGGACAGAGGCTCCCGGATGGACCAGCAGCAGCGAGGTATGAGTTGCAAGGAAAGAAAACAAACAGACGAATGAGATTAAAAATCCCAAAGGGACCGTCTTGACGAAGTGGTCTACTCTTCTTCTTCTGCTGCTTGGAACTTCTCCTCGAATACCACCACTGTGTATGTCCAAAGGAAGGGAGAATAGACAAAGTAGGCGGAAGGGTCGACGACACACATGCCGTCACACCAAAAAAATAGCTATTGCGGTATTCGAATTCTAGTTTTAGCTTTCCAGCATGCATCTAATAAACAAGAAGCGGCGGTTGGTGTATCTTGTAAAACATGCTCGTGCACGCACTGGGTCTTTTTGTAGGTAACTTTTTTTCTTTTGGGACCACCCATTGGTCTTTTTTAAATTACCAAACTTTCTCTTTTGGGGGGGCAGCAGTCCATAAAAAGAATATTTTGTGGTGCAGGAGCATGTTTCACTGGGTACACCAGCCGCTGCTTCTTCTTGTTTAGGTTGCATGTGGAAAGCTACAATTGAAATTCAAGATGAGTCTGTGCTGCAGGTAGTTCAGCGGGAGCTACGACCGCCTACCAAACCAACCCTTAAAAGTGACATGGGCCCATCCATGCCGGCAAATTAGAGAGCTCGAAAAAAAAAGGAAAAAAAACCTCGGCTTTCAGTTCTACATCTAATTGGATGGTGGGGTACATAGAGAGCTGGGACTGTTCTCTATCCAGGACACTATCAACGAACCACACGACCGGAAATTGAGGCTGCGGCGGATTTCCAGATTGCATGTTGGATGCTTCTTATTTCCCGGGATAGCGGGCGAACTCTTCGCTTGCGCCCTCGTGCTTAGCGTGATATATCCGCTATGGACCTTCGGGACTAGAGTTCGTTAGGAAACGAACGGCATTCCATCGGAGGTGTTCACTAGGACTCTCCTACCATGGCTTCCTAGAAAATGTGATGGATCCGGTTGACCAAAACACCGCTGTTTTGGAGAACCACAGATCCCGAGCTAGTCCCTCATACCTGCTACCGCTGGTACCAAATGACTGAATGACCAGGCTTGAGTTTCAACCCTATGAATCAGACAATGACGATGACAATCACGATGACAATCACGATGACAATGACAAAAGCTGGCCTCGAAGCTCAATCATGCTATCGCCATTTGGGCGGGAAACCCCACTCCAGAAAAAACAAGACCCAGCACAGCTAATGCGTAAAACAGTCCACGACTCGACTCAGAAAATCATCTCTCATTGAAACTCTATCCTCAGCCTAGGGATAGAAAATATACAATCATGAACATATCTACATCCAAAATGAAACAGCAAAAAGTACTCCAATCCCTCTCGTTCCCGGCCAGCAGTAGCGACAGTGAGTTCATTGATCCCTTGATCATCTCAAAAAGAAATCCCAATGAAAAAGCTAACTAAAAAAAAGAAAATAGATAAATCAGATCACGCCCTACTTCTAAGCAGTCGTGCAAACCGCCCCCGCCTCAGTTACTGTGACAGTCGCAATCCTCGACACCGTCACACTTTCCGTCTCCGTAACTGTAACTGCACTACCGGCACCGCCACTACCAGCGGTCGTTCCAGGTGCTTCAACAGTCACCGTAACAGCCGGTGGAGTGACCGTAACTGTAGTGTATCTCGTTATCGGGGCCAAGCTCGTCACCGTGATTGGTGTAGGGACGATAGTCTATTCACAATTAATTAGCACCATCCACCCCACCAGAAATATCAACCAGGAGAACTTACAACTGCAGAGGTAACGGTGAGCTGGACTGTCGCTGTCTCAGTGCTAGTCACAGCAGCACTGCCAGAAGCTCCACCGCCCACAGTCACGGTGACTGGCTCCAGAGTTCCAGTAACGCCCTCAGTAGCTGTGGCTGTGACGGTAACTTCGACAGTAGCGGTGCTGGTGACCTGCGGTACTGTCGTATTTCCGGATGCTGTAACAGTTACTTGTACGGTGTTTGTCACTGGGAGGATAGTCTCTCCCGCGGACACACCGACGGTGATAGTAACTGGCTCGGGAGTTACTGTCTCAGTTGCTGTATGAGTGGTCTGTGACAAAGTTGCGTTGGGAGCAGTCACGGTGACCTGGACTGTATTTGTTACTGGGAGGAGCGTTGAACCGGCGGAAACTCCGACAGTGACTGTTACTGGCTCTGGAGTAATTGTCTATATCACGATGTGTTAGCTTCAATCTCTCTATCTCTAGGGGTTACTATCTCAACTCACCACAGCAGTAGCAGTAACCGTAACCTCCATCGTTGACGTCTCCGTGTTCGTAACGGGCAACAATGTCTCACCAGCACTCACACCAACTGTCACAGTAACAGGCTCCCTCGTCACGGTAACCGCTGTAGCAGTAACGGTATGCGTTGCCGTAACCCCCAGGCCAACGGTCGAGTTCCCAAAAGGCGGCACCGCCAGCGTCGAGTTTCCATATGGCGGGCCCGCAGCAGGCACAGAAGGCACAGGCAGGAACGAACCCGTTGGCTCTGGTGCTGTAGAAGACGTGAAATATGTCGCATCGATCCTACGGCTGATGGTCGTAATAACTGTCTCAATACCACCAACGGTGCTAGTGATTGTCTCAGTGACGAGCGATCCAGAGGTCGTCTCATCGAGTGGGGAGCCAGTTACAGCGCCGGTGGCTTCACTGATGGTTGTGATGACTGGTGCGAGAGTTGTTGTCGCTGTGTTGCCTTCCGAGACAATAACTGTAACGACTGGAGGGAGGGTTGTTACTATTGTTGCGGCCTCGGAGGTGCTGGCTGGGGTACTGGCTGAGACCGCCCTCGATACTGTTCTTGTTAGGGTTGTGCCGTCCGAGATGATGGTAGTGACAGCTGGCTCAAGAGTGCTGACCAGAGTCTCGCCGGGGACGATGATGGTTGTCTCGAGAGGGTTGTTTGTCAGAGTCCTGGTGACAGTGGTACCGTTGGTAATGACCGTTGAGACACCGGGCCGCAGGGTGTTGACAAGGGTGCTTCCAGGTAGAACGATGGTAGTCTCTAGTGCGCCGGTGATGGTCCTTGTTACTGTTGTCCCGTTGGTAATGATAGTTGAGACGCCTGGCTGGAGGGTGGAAATGATCGTATTGCCCGGAACCACGATTGTTGTCTCAAGTGCCGCTGTCAACATCCTAGTAACAGTAGTTCCGTTCGAGATGATGGTCGAGACGCCCGGCTCAAGCGTGCTAACCATTGTATTTCCCGCAGAGACGATAGTGGTCTCTACTGCGTTAGTGATTGTCCTCGTTACCGTTGTGCCGTTGGAAATGATTGTGGATATACCCGGTTCAAGGGTGCTCACAATGGTCTCGCCAGGCGATACAACAGTCGTCTCAATCGCCTCTGTCAGTGTCCTTGTAACAGTGGCTCCCTCAGAGACAATAGTAGTCACACCCGGTTCCAAGGTACTGACGACCGTCTCGCCGGGCACGACCACCGTCGTCTCCTCTACATCCGTCAAGGTCCTAGTCACAGTTGCACCTTCAGAGATGATAGTAGTCACGCCAGGTTCCATCGTAACTACCGACGTGCTGCCGTCCCTTACAATTGTCGTCTCAACCGCACTCAGCACCGTGCTTGTCGCCGTGCTCCCACCCTCAATGATGGTGGTCACACCGGACTGCAGCGTACTAACAATTGTCTCCCCCGGGACAACAACTGTCGTCTCGGCCGCATTCAGGGCTGTACTAACAACTGTTGTCCCATCCTGCACGATGGTAGTTACTACCGGCTGTAGTGTTTGCACAAGCGTGCTCCCATCCTGCACAATCGTAGTCTCGATGGTATCCAGGATCGTGCTCGTTACAACACTCCCGTTGGAGATGATAGTAGTTACAACAGGCTCCAAGGTGCTAACAATAGTCTCTCCCGGCACGACAACAGTCGTCTCCAGTGCACCAGTCAGGGTACGGACCTCTGTTGAGCCGTCTTGGACGATGGTCGTCACAGCTGGCTCAAGCGTACTGATAACTGTGCTGCCATCGGAGACAATGGTAGTCTCGACCGGGTTCAAAAGTGTCCGGGTGAGCGTGGTGCCGTTCGAGATGACGATTGTTGTTGTGAACCCGGGCCGCGGAGGGTTCAGTCCCACAATGGAGGTAGGCAGAGGGAGATCTGAGCTTGTCATGTATGTGGTATCAATGAGGTGGCTAGTAGAAGATGGGTTAGCGGAGCGTGTGAGCGTGATGCCATCGCTGACAAGCGGAACGGTCTTTGTGACTGTGTGGGTCGATGAGGAGCCCGAGACATTGTCGAGGAGTGTTCCGGTGACCGACGGTTCCGGTGTTGAGGTCGTCTCATCACCAGGGTAGTCTGTCTCTGTGACAATAGGCGTTGATGCCGTGACGGTGATGGTGACCTCCGTAACCTGTGGTTTGGGTTTTATTGTCAGCTTATACTCTGGTCTATTGTATCACTCTATATAGAAGGGAACTACTAACCGGAGGGCCCAAAGGCGGCGGGCTTCCGGTTCCAGTGCCGTGCGGGAGGCCGGTACCGGTTCCATTGATCAAGTCGAGCGGGCCACCGGGTACAATTCCCTGTTTGACTTGTTAATACTGTTTTCCCTAAGCACACATGGAAGGTGGAGGGGGGCGTTCAACATACCATAGTACCCGAAGGGGCCAAAGTCGGGAACCCGGAGGCGTCGCTGGGAGGCGGTTGGGCTTGCCGGACTGCAAGTCTGCGGGCGAGACGCTTGATGTCGCCGAAGCCGACTATATTGTGTAATGTTTAGCATCTGATATATATGATATACTCGTATCCAGCTAGTAGATTATAAAGGTAGAATTCAAGGCTAGAAGGTAATAATGATACATACCAGCCCTTGCATCTACAGCAGCAGCAACATTGAGCGCAAATACGGCAGCAGTAACGAATCTCATCTTGTCGAATCTCG